AGATAAATAAATAAATAAAAACGGCACAAAGCAGCGCTCCACATTCATCTAATCCAGAATTTAATGAACAAACCATATATGTCTAGGTAGATAATCACTTTGTATGTGATAATACAGGAGTCATTTCCACAGGAATCAGGATATATTAAATCAGAAGACCAGCTCAGAGACGTATTCAGTAAAGCTGTGAAAGAGTTGCAGATGAACAACATTTGTAAAAAGCTGCACATTATGGATATATATGCTTCAGCTTAAGAGGAGTGTTATCGTATATATGGTATAGATTAGGATATCAATTAGTAAAATTTTGTAATGTTGTAGATTAGGCATCTTTAGTCAGTAAAATAAAATATCCTTGTACATTGTACTCTTGGATATATCATATACAATATGTTCATTTGTCTCTATATTTACCTTTCCAAAAAAACAGTAGGAAGTTGGAGTTCAAGATCAGGATAAGAAGGTTCAACAATAACAGCATTATTAGCCTTCGATCTTTTACCGAGGCAGCTTGTGGGGGACATGAATCAGGCTTCACTATAAGTCGAGTCCATTTCTGTTGAGTATAAACTTGAATTTCGTGAGATACGAATAATTCAGAGGGAAGTTGAGGTGATTCTTATGGGACGATATCAGAAGTGAAATCAAGTCAGAGGACTCAAAACATAAAGCACTGTAAGCATCGAGAATTACAGAAGGTAAGCGATTAATAAGAAAACATACAGCCCAATAGAGTTGAGGAATGTTCATTTGAAACAAAAACGGTTGAGCAACCTTGAGAAGCTGCCGATGTTTTCATTCAACAGCCTCATTTTGGGCATGTGTATCAGCACAAGAGGATTCATGTAAAGTTCCCCATAATATCATATAAAGGATGAAATGAAACAGAAGAATATTCTTATGCGATATTCTTCGTAAGAAATCATGGATTTCAAATATTAATTCTGGATTTCCGAACAAAATGAAGACAAAATCTGGACAAAACCCATCTTTTGATAAAAAGCTCACAACGGCAATTTGCTCATGTTTCTTCTGCATCTTTTTCACATCAATTCTAAGAGATAGAAGAGAATTTAATTCCCTGTAATCTCTTAAATTCCATGACATAACAAGTAGAGGATTATCGTTACGTTTCTCTCTATGAAATGATTTACACACAGAAATAAGGAACAAAAAGAGGAGCTAAAACGATTCCGAGTGGATCACCGGCGCGTGGGCTTCATACGTACTGAATCCAGTTCGCAGCAGATTCTAATAGGTAGCCAATAGACGACCAGTGAGTCTCTGGAACAGAGGTGAGATCATATCAGTGTAATGGCGGTACATGGCGTTTTGCCAAAATTCCGCCATGGCGGCCGCCGTGGCAGTCTATGGCGCCGCCATGGCAGCCATCACTCACACATTTTGCATGGCGGAGTGTCAAAAATCCGCCACGCCATACCGCCATGGCCGCCATTTGATAACACGGGATCATATTTTGAATCTAAGTTAGTAGCACAGAGCTGCCACAGAAAACAAATCCCTCTGTGTTCTTTGTTTTGACAGACAGAAAACAAAATGGATTTCTCAAAAACCTTAAGCATGGCTCTGACACCATGTACCGTAAATTGAATACTGCGTAAATATAACACAACACACATCTACACTCTAAGAGAGCTAACAAACAAAGTAAAACTAATTAAGGGATGGAAGATTAGAAGGATAAGATTGATATACCTTTCCTAACCTATTTACAGTATATTTGCTAACATGTGCAAATGATATCACATGGTCCTAAATGGGGAATAATGGTTACTAGCAATAGATATCCACATTACTATTATAAGAACATGAAGACTGTAAATTACGATGCAATTTGCAAGGTGAACAAAGCCCCGAGCTAACTGAAACTAAAATATAAATAAGTAATGTGCGTCTATGTTATGTAAAAGAGAGGTCTACATGGGAGCAGCAGACTGAATAAGTCAATTCAATAGTATACATAGATCATCCATTTATTAAGTAATTTGATTATCTTCCATATCCAATCAATACACCAAATACATTGTTTTTAGTCGCTTCATGTAACCACAGATCAGAGTAATCTCAAGCTTACTTTGGGGCGAACTTCCGGGTCTTCCAGGCATCATGGTTCCCCAAAATGACTGCTGTCGCAAAATCAAGATTTGAAACGCTCCGAACTATATCAACATTCTCATTACCAAAATCACCTGGAGAAGAATCTCACATGATAGGCTAAAACAGAAAGGACAAAGAAAGAACATAAACACTGATAGCCGATAGGCTGAAGTAGCTGGATTAACGGAAGAACCAGTGCACCTGCCTGTGAACAACACTAGATCTGGCTGCATTTTCCAAAATCCAAAATACAAGTTATTAAAATCCATTCATGGCATTAAAATGAAGGATATACCCAAACTTCATCAATATAAGAAATTCCCATGTTGATAGACAGTTAATCGAAAATAAAAATAAAGACGTATACTGCAGTCGACATTTTAAAGTAGGAAGACAACTGGAAAGAAGACAAATTTCATTTTGTCCTAACTTCTACATCAAATCAAATACTACAATCTATATTTTGTATGCAAAATCATGACCATTAAGAAGAAAATACGGTGAATAAAACCACTTCATTTAATGTTGTTGCTTCATTTAATGTTGTTGCGACTTGCACCAATCACAGTATTATAACTGTTATGCCTTAAGTGGAGTACTCCAACTTTCATTGCGAGCAACAGTTATCAAATAACATCCCAAGCTTCATAAGTAGCATGTACTGTAACATTACCTCAATCAAAAGAAGTTGCATTATTTGATAGGAATATGTAATAAAAGGATAACACCATAAGTATCCCTCAACAAATATGCATCACAAGTGATGTTCTCAATCAAATTCAAGGATCAGTACAGCAAAGGAATTTATACTGAACACTGGCTAGATTTTGTATACTATTGACACACACACACACACACACACACACACACACACAAACACACACAGAGAGAGAGAGAGAGAGAGAGAGAGAGAGAGAGAAAGAGATGAAGAAACCTTCAACAGTTGCAGAGCCTTGGTATCCTCTTCTAGATTCCAATCGTTATGCTTCAAAATCGAAAAGGATTAAAGAAACTGAAGTTAGTATTCGCTCAAAGTCGAAAAACACTTCCGACAACTGTAGTTGTAACCATGAGGTTCAGAAATTGAGGTAGGGAGAGGGATTACGATGTCGCCGACAATTGCGATTCGGACGGAGGTGGCCATCGGAACATAAGAGCAACGGACTCGAGAAGGCGGTCGAGAGCGAAAAGGCGGCGCGTGTAGCCACGTGCAACCTCTCAGGATTAACATGTATAGATGTTGTACATACGCCTCATATTCATGTCAAGCAGGTCAAACTTTTAACTTTTTATTATTATTTTTTTTTTTTTTTACCAAACGTGGAATTTAATTAAAACTATTTCAATATACAAGACAAGTAATCAACGGATTACAAGAAGACGTTAGAGGATTATTGAATACAAAATTATCTCGAAAAAATCTAATCATTTTTAATTTAATTATTTTTTTTTAATTTAATTTTAACTATATTTCACTATCATCAATATTTTACTATAATTAAATAATATCAATCAATTATTCTTACACAACACATCATCTTTAATTCACTATTCATTCACTCACATAATTTTAACTAACCATCACTTCAACTTTTCTCTTTTACTTTTTACATCAAATCAATTTTAATTATTTTATTTTAAATATTATTTTAATATACCCACTAACAACTAATCATACCACCTTTTTTAAAAATTAACCAAACCAAACCAAAAATAAAAACAAAACTAAAAAAAAATTATATCCAAGCATCCCCTTAAGAAAACAAACAAGGTAAAACAACAAAAATTCACATCAACTAAACTAAGGAACATGAAGAAAATATAAAAAGTGAAGTAGATAAGTGTACGAATAGAATTGTATTAGTGAGATCGCCATTCAAAAAAACCTAAACACGATGTCAATTTTATGTGATTTTAATAATCCAACCACCTCACAATAAAGCATAAGAGACAAAGTGATGTAGAAAAGTATATGAATGAACAATATTAATGAGATCGCAATTAAAAACGATATCAAATCTTATTTCATTTCAATAATCCAACCACCTCACAATGAAGCATAAGAGTCCTTTATATAAGATTTTCAATATTAAGCATAACTTATTCTCCAAACTACCTGATGATGATAATAATAATAATAATAATAATAATAATAATAATAATAATAATAATAATAATAATAATAATAATAATAATAATAATCTACACCACAAATGCATATCTAAGGAGAAAATGTCCTCAGCTATGACAGTAATATTCCAATAGAAAACGCCCCTAGCTGATAATGCTTTCCTAATTAGCAGAAATAATTGAAAAATCATAAGAGCCTCACTTTTTTAAGATAAACTAAACTCTTCGTTTTGAAGATAACTAAGCTTTCTTATTATTTGATTTCTTTACATTATCTTATTATTTGATTTCTTCATGCATAAGATACTAGATTACTTAGAAAAGATTGAAAAATCATCATAAACCTTTTAAGGTCTTTTATTTTTGCCTCACTTGTTGACACTAGATTATATAGTAGAAAAGATTAAAAACTGATAAAAAGGTCTCCATATTAATTTATTTGTTCTTTTATTTTTGTCTCACTTGTTGACACTCGATTACATAGTAGAAAATATTGAAAACCCTCTATATTTATTTATTTATTTCTCCATAAACCTCTTAAGGTCTTTCATTTTTGTTTCACTTGCTGACACTAGATTACGTAGTAGAAAAGATTGAAAATCATAAGAACCTCCATATTTATTTATTTCTCTATAAACCTCTTGTGGCCTTTCATTTTTGTCTCACTTACTGACAGTAGATTACGTAGAAAAGATTGAAAAATCATAAGAGCCTCTATATTTATTTATTAATATATCTATAAACCTCCTAAGGTCTTTCATTTTTGTCTCACTTGTTGACACTAGATTACGTAGTAGAAAAGATTGAAAAAATCATAAGAACCTCCATATTTGTTTATTTATTCATTCCTCTATAAACCTCCTAGATCTTTCATTTTTATCTCACTTGTTGACACTAGATTACATAGTAGAAAAGATTGAAAAATCATAAGAGCCTCCATATTTTTTTTTATTTATTTCCCTATATAACAACTTGTAAAAATCATAAGAAGAATAAAAGTGGACTGGCATTTATCTCAGGTATATAACAACTTGTAAATTTTAACAGCAATGCATTATATAATAATTTGTAATTTTACCAACGCCATATGCAGGCGGGCAGCTGAATCCTTGAAGATCCTAGCCTAATTTTAAGTGGAAAAAAAAAATGAACAAAAACACTAAAGAATTTCTTTAATAATATGCAAGTTTAAGGAAGGGCACAAGGAGCTTAAGAAGCAATGTGAAAGATTTACTGAAGTGAGGCGCTAAACAAAGCAATACCAAAAAAGTGCACAAAAAAAACATGTATGACAAGGAAAAATAAGATCAATAATAGAACATGCATAAAGTCGTTTTGGAGCTATTATGCTATTAATTTTGTAAACATCTCATGTTAAAGAACTTGGGGGAGAGGGAGACAAGCCCCACATCAATATAAATAACCATTCTGCTGGAAACATCTAGGTTTCTATGAGGCTTCACAAGAAAACAGTGTCTCGTTAGTAGGCTCTTGAGATTTCATTCCACATGGAATGCTAATAGGAAGTGACTTGTTATGTTTTCAATTTCTTTTAAAAATAATATCAGAATGCCAAATTCAACTTATGTGTAATACTCTCTGCAAACTGGAAGAAGTTTTGAGGTTGTTAAAGAAAGAATAATTTGAAGTTGCACATTATCCCTTTCATGCAACATATCGATGGGGAAAACCCTTTCTAAAGTTATACCGTCGGTTATTTCATATGTGATGATAGGCCAAAGCATTCTCGAGCGCGAAAAGTGATCCAATGAATTTGATAGAATTCAGCGCCAAGAATTTACCGCTGATAACATATAGTATTCATCTATACCTAGTGCCAAGTAAAGTAATCGTAACCCTAGATATTTCTCTCGGAAGAAGAAAAATTTGAAAGAAAAAATTAGATATTAATCTGGCATGGAAAAGGAAACAAAATACAAAATTGATATACCCATTTTTTGTACATATATGTTTATAATAAGCTTATTTAGACTGCCAGTTCCTTGCACTCTATGACTACTTCACTCGCGTTCCCCCAAAGAAATTACTAGCGGATTGATGGATCACCTTGATAATAGAAGGATTCTCTGTGTGAGAAAAAAAATTAAACAAAATATCGATAAAATAAAACTAAAATAAAATAAGATAGAATTTACAAAACGTACGTACATCACCTTTTTCCCTAAAGCAATTTGATTTTAATTCAACTCATGACGATCATAACCAGAAAGTTCATATTCTTCAATCATCGATAAACAATTTGTTGAACAATACTTAATTGCAATGGTTTTGTTGTTTCTTCATGTTAAAAAAAAAAGATTGTTTAGATCTGACGGGACCAACCTCATCCATTTTTTTTAAAACATATACTTGTAAGATAACACAAGATTTCAACTTCTAGCATTATATATTTTTTCTTTTATCTGACAACACTATTTCAAAACGGCTCTCTGTTCGGAAAATGTTCCAAATGTTCTTGAATATTCTTGCACCTATTAGACCATTTGTATCTATATGCATCAGGTCTCGTGCTAAAGAGCATGAATGTTTGAGTCCTCTTCAAGGCATAATATAGAGAATGCTTATTGAATGAGCAATTCAATAAGAGAGCTCAAAACGAATCGATGTTGGTATATCAAAAACCATGAATTGCATTTCTGGAATTTCAAATTAAGATAGAATCAATGTTGGACTTATTGGATCCTTAGCAATTCATGCAAGGATAGATCAATGGGGATCTCTCAAAAACCCATTTTATGAAATCTCGGAGAGGTAGGCAGGGGCCATCATTAATCATTTTATATTCAAATAGATACGTTAATCCTCATCATTTTTGAAATTTTGGTGAAACAATTCCTCCACCATTTTTTAATTATTCAACCATTGCCTTTCTGCAGGTTCAATGATAGCCAAATTACTGGAATTGTTTGATCTTAAAGGATGTCTTCTATAATTTCGCACGTGAGAAGTGATTTCTTTGTAGGAACTACCCGTAATAACGAACTTGCAATATGGATTTGTTTGTCATAAAGAGTATAACTCTAATATGTTACGCTTAGACAAATTATCTTGTCTTCATCTATGATTCTTTACAAGGCGATTTCGAACTAAAATTCTTATTTTGAATTATCTTGAGAATGCCTTATGTATATATTAAAAAAATGGTAACTCAAGAAATTTTTTTTTCTCGACTCAATAGAAGCTCAAAGAAAGAGATGAATTGGTTTGTTAAATTTAAGACGTGGAATTAGAATCATTTTCATTTGACTTCGTCAATTTTTGATAAGAACTCAAAAGGAAAGTGTCATTCAACTGAAATTTTTAATTAACTATTTTAACTTGGGTAGGTGCAGGGAGAATGAAGCATATTCTCATTCATTTTTTTTTCCAAAAACGATAGGATACTCATAAATAGAAAAAGATGTTCAGGTACAAGGGAGACACCCTAAGCTGAGGGCTAAGCCAGAGAACACGAATAAACATAGTAGCCAGTAGGCTAAATACAACAAACTATCAAACAAACTATCAAACACCAAAGACAGTAACATGAACTGAGCCCTCCAGTGAGAATACAAGCTTAACTAACATAAGAATCATAAGAAAAGAAAAGAGAGACTAGCCACTGAACTGCCTACACAGACCTAGCTAGACTTCCTGATCTTTGAGAAGCACTTTTAGAGATTAAGCCAACTGCTTCCTGCCATTCTTGCCATGCTCTAGATGCTATGCTCTTATCAGCTCTCCAGACTCTTTCAAACATCCAAAGATTACGGGATTTCCAGAGCCACCACAAGATGTATGTGGTGAGCTCTATCCTAGCCTCATCAATAGCAGAATGCCCAATGGAACATAGAGAGCCCCACCAATCTTTGAGCGTGCAGCCTGTTAGTTGAGCACCCTCCCATGATACTGGAGCTTGCTTCCAAACTTTCAGTGCTCTGGGACATTCCAGCAATACATGAACAACAGTCTCGACTGCCTCACCACAGCAACAACAAATAACATCCACTTCAACCCTTCTGTTATTCGATTTGGCATTAACTGGAAAGGTGTCCGAGATACACTTCCAAATGAAGTGTTTTAACTTACCTTTGATGTGTA